AATTACTGTCACGTACAGTAATGGGAAGTGCGTTCCAAAGTCTGACCGCATGAACAGTAGAGGAGTGAGAATAAAAACCGGAATTGAATGATGGAAAAGATAATTGGGACCTAACGAGAGAGCGACAAGGCTTATCCTGGGACCTCAGAAAGCTGAAACGCTCTTTTAGATACCTGGGAGACAAAGGATTATTTATTTTATTTATTTATTTATTTTATTTTGGTACAAACAGTCATTACAAAATAATGGTTACAAAGAAATTAGAAGTATGCTGTAGACAACGAGTACCGAAAATTACTATTATACAATTTTACAAAATAGGCTGCAGGGCTTACATAGTTGCAGAGAAAGAATTTATAATATTTTACAACTCAAAACTAAATAAATATAAATATAATGAAACATTACAATATCAATCCACTCCGCGAAATAGGCAAAGAAAACAGATCATAGACCCAACCCAACCATAGACGGTTGAGTGTAATATAAGTTAAATTATTTATTTAGTGTTTTTTGTGAATTTTAACATAACCAATCTGCCTACCCCTTCCACACAGTGAACTGAGAAATACTGCAATTACGGCGTAAAAAATAAGACATAAAAAATAGAAATAAAAATTTAGGGATGTGTGACAGAATATACTGACACTAGACAGCTAGGCTGCATCGATGCTGCACAAAAGTGGATTATGTAGAATGTTGTAAAAAAGAGAGACGATATGCAAATTCCTGTGGAGACGAATGGAATGCCACTTGAACTGATTGCCATAGTGTGAGATTGGATCATATTTACAAAGGCCAAAGATGAACCTTATACATAGATTTTACAACCGTTCAAGCTTATTTAGCAGTTCTTCAGTAGCATCTAAATAGCAGGATTGTGCATAGTCTAACCGCTCACGCGATGCGCTCCTCCTATTTGGTTTCGCAAATTAGAAAAGCATTCAATTTAAACACAAGTTTTTATAAATAAAAATTATTATTCTGCATTGCTAAATAAATACCCTCCGTACTACCACAAAAACATCTCAAATAAAATGCAGTAATACACCGCAAATCCTGCACTTAAAAAGCACTAATGAAATTTTTGGTGTACTTGGATAAATATGATAATATTCCGTTTGAGTGGTTCTAACGTTTACTATGAAATTACTCCTTGAAGTATAGTTTATAAACATTTATGTATATTCAGGGTAAACTTAAAAAACGCTACTTACGGTAAGCTCTCAATAAAATAATAATAAGTGTAAAATAAGAGATTGAGCTAAACAGATCTTGGTTTTAAAGGCATAAAGTTTTGGTGATCTTTGTTTCGGTTTTTCTACAACATGAGTGAGAAATTTATTAATTCAGAGAGGTACCTTTATAGCAACCATTGCTGACTATAGATGTCGCTTTAATGTTTAAGTTTTCATTAAATGTCACGATGTTTTATTACTACGATATTCAATTATTTTTTGTGTAATTACTCTACTAGTTGTTATTATTATATAAGAATGTATTTTTATTCTTATAATATACAAAGAAAGAATAAAAAGTAATAAGTACCAGGATCTCGGCTCTGACTACCTATTTACAGCCTTTGGAGTCGAAACACTTGGTCCGTAGGGTCCCAGCAGTTTTATCTGTACAAAATTTTATCCAAAAAATTAATAGACTGTCTGGGAAACCCAAGGGCCAGCAGCTACCTTGCCCAACGCATTAGCATAGCAATGCAAAGGGGGAACGTTGCCAGCGTCTTGGGCACCTTGCCGCGGCGGCCCAATTTTATTCATATAATTTAAAAATCCTAGTTTTACTTTATAGTATTTAAGCTGTTATTGTCTTCTTTACCTTACCTCTACTTGTTTGTTAAAAATAAAACATCGTGACATTCAATAAAAATTATTTTATTGTTTGATTTTTATTTTAAATAAAATTATTTATTGAATAATATATTGTACAAATGAAAAATTTCAACAAATGATTATATTATAAACAAAAAATAATTAAACAATAAAATGCAAATCATAATATATACCTATACGTTTAAATTAGACAACTTTTTTTTTGGGATAATTAATTAATTCTCTGTATCATCGAAGCACATATTTTGAAGGAATTCTTGGAGAATTTTCTTAACCTTTATGTAACAAAAATGATATATGGCCAGTTTGGCGTTTAATTTATTGTACAAAAATGGCCCAAGAAACACAAAAAAATCTGGAAATAAACACGTTTTGATGATACAATTTTGGGGCAGACAACATTTTTCCGTCTTTTGTTAGTGTTTTCAGTACAACATGGGATTGCAATGTGCTGTTTGAAAACCGTGAACTTAATAAATAATTGCGTTACAGTTAGTACCTTACACGACTTATACAGAAGATCAGTGGGGTAAAGGAAAGGGTGGAAGGTAGAAACCTTTACAACTGCTCGCTGGGATCTCTCAATGGTAATGAAGTTATAGCAATATCACCCCAAGATATAATGCAATATATAATAATTGATAAATCAGCAAAAGCGCGTAGTTTTTTAAACAAAAAAACAAATTTTTACTCATTCCGTGTGTAATTTTTTTATATCAAGCGACGGGAGACACGAGTTGACAAGTTCATTTGCCTATATTTTCACCAGTAACCCTTATCCTTCAAAATTGACTTGGAAATAGATTGACTGACGGCAGAAATAGATAAGTTTGCAGTACGTCTCTGGATGAACCCTTTAACTAGGAGCTCTACTGCTTAAAGTTCGAGTAAATGTATAATAGATATAAGATTTTCATTTATTTATATACATAAGTACAATCCAGCAATCCAAACGCGGACATGATATAAAAATTGTCCCCTGTTTGGCATCAAATTTTTTTAGGATCCGCGTAATGACTGCTAGAATGCTATCGACACTGAAATTATAAATGGTAAACAGAATTTTGTATTAATAATTGTAGAAATAATTACCAAAAAAAAAAACCATTTTATGTCGTTGACAGCTCTAAAAATGGTTTTTTGATATTTTAAAATATGAACATACTCTTGTTATCACCAGCATCATCTTTTTAGATATAAAATAATGAGTTTGTGTAAAAAGTACATGTTGTTCTTTGTTCTACAGAACGGCTGTGAAAATCTATAAGGCTATAGCCTTTAAGCCGCTCTACAATTTGCCCGTATCTAAGTAATGATTTTTTAAATAAAGAATAAACAATATAAACCAGAAATGAGCTGAAAATTTAGACAGTTTTTATTTTTACTTATACCAAGACGTTATTTGGTAAATTAAACTTTTTTTAAAAGGAAATGCGAATAATGTTATTTAAAATAATGATAATATTAAAAATTATTGTTGTGACTTGATTTTCGAATTAGCTGTTAATACACCACACGTAAAATAGGCGCCTGGACGTCGAATTGCGGACTCCAGCCCGTTACACCAAGTGAAGTACCCAGTACTTATAATATTCCCTAAGAGAAGAATTCCCTAGATTAAGATTAGGAAATCGGTGTTATTGTATTGTAATTGAGGTTTTTTTTTATAATATCAAGTAAGCGTGCCTACAGCTCCGGTATCTATCTGGAAAACGGGAAGGATGTTGTATGCATTGTACAAGTCACTAGTCTTACAGAGAACCGGATGTAGTCCGTACAAATGGGCTGATCTGGGTTTAGGACCTGACTTACAAGGTCCCTGTGCGGGTTGGCTCCCACAAGTCACAGTGCCCTTCCCGCATAACCAAGAGGTGGATAGCGGCACTGTAAACAAAACTTGTAGGTATAGAAAGATATGGGACTGTTCATAACAGTTGCAGTGTTACGAGCAGAGTTGTTAAGAGCTTTAAATCTCAAATATCTGAATAGAACTGCCACTGCGCGCGTCACCCTGAGACATAAGTTGTCCCATGTGCCTGTAATTTCACCAGCACCCTTCAAAACCGGAACACAGTAATGCTGACATTACTGCTTGGCAGCTGAAATAGGTAAGGTGGCTGTACTACCCTGGACGAACGCTTTCACAAGGAGTGATACTTACGTACACAATTATTACATTTGGATACTATTTTCGTTGTATAAAAGATATATAAGTATTTTTTATACAGAAAAATAGTGTCCAAGTATAGAATAATTATGTGCTTTGGTAACATTCAAAGTAAACTAAATTACGCAGTAAGTAAGTAAGTAGCGGTAAGTAATCGATATAGACCACAGTAAAAGAAAAACCTGCATTGGGACAGCGCGGCGGAATGACCTAAATCCTGTCTATAATAATAATAATCTAAAATAGATAATAATAATAATAATAACGTACACACTCAACATAGATTCTATAAAGAAGACGTGTTCAGAACGTGGAACGTTTAATAATCAAAATACTAAACTGGCCCCTTGGCCCGTCTTTCATATAAATTTTTTAAACTTTTTTTCAGTATAATTTCTATTTAAAATTCAATTTCATTTATTTATATAAATACATACAATCAAGCAATCTACATACGGAAATATTATACAAAAATTATCCCGTGCCTTCGGCAGCCATTTTTTTAAGATCCGCGTCTAGACTGCCAAATTGCTATCGAAATTAAATTTTAAATTGTAAACAGACATTTTCATACTTATATTTAAAAAAAAATCTTTGAAATTGTAACAATTGTGATAGAATCATGAAAAATATTGCATTGAAATTAAAAAAAATACGTAATTCAAAGAGAATTTAGGTATGTCTCTGACGTCTATTTTTTTTATATTTTTAAAGTAATTTTCCGCCGATAGCCGCAATTATAAGTGTCAACAGTTTCAATCAAACGTGTCTATAAATGTGAAAAAATGTTAGAAAAAAAATTACTTATTTTTCCCATAAGAAAATTCTTCATTGACATTAATATATATATCGTATATCGCCGCCGTAAATATTAAATAAAATTATTAACTTTTTAGCATTTTCATTGCACAAAGAACGATCACACATAAATTAGAATTTAACGGCTACGACCTATTGTTAAAATTGCATAAATGTCTCATACTTACATTTCTTAGACGCTTGGCTTTTGTTCAAGTATTTTTAATGAACTGTTAAATTAGTTATGAGTTTCACTATTAACTTTTAATTGCACAAGTTATTTATTTCCAAGTTCCTAGCACTAATCAGTTTTTTTTCCAATAGTATTAAAAAAATAAATACCACGAATTCACATTAAAAAAAAACAAAAATTTTAATTTTCGAACAAAGCACTCCTTAAAACCGTTTGTCTCTTTCACATTTCACTGTAAGTTATATATATCCCGTAAAGTTTTTCAAATTTGGAACAAAAGAAAAAACACAAGTTCAATAAATTATGAATACTATTCACGAATTTGAAATCAAATATTTAAGCTTCACTGATTCGTTGGAATTCAGAACGGTTGTCTTTTCAAACTTTTTCGAATTCGCTGTTAGAACGCGCGCGCCAGGCATGCATTGCCAACGGTAAGCAGTGTACGACTGATTTTCCACGCTACAAGCTGTTCGCTCCGAGCCGTGTTCTATAATTTCAGCCAAGATTACAGTGGACGTTACACAATAAGATTCAGTTTTCCCCTTCATAGTTAATATTAAAATAGTGTGTCTAATTAAAATGTTTTATGTCCAATTTTGGAACGTATTAATTGTACAAATTAAAAAAAACAAAATGTACCTTTTAAATTGTACTTATTAACTAGTAAAGTTGTTTTTCGGATACAAATAACAGGACGAACAAGTCGTGCGCCTGGTGGTAAGCGACACGCCTGTCCGCAACGGGTGCAGAACCACTCAGAGCCCGCAAAGATCTTAGAGGCTGACAAAACCCATTCAAAACTAGGTAAGGTGGCAGTACTGTCTGGACAATTTCTTTCACACGTAGCTCTGCTGTTACTATATCTTACAATAGCGTACGCAGAGACTACGTATCTGCACTTGCCATTATCTTTACATACTTTTTGGGCATCCAGTCGAATACTAGGCTTCCAATATATATAGTCGTCCGTTCTGGAGACCTGACCTTACCTTTAACCTGACCTTTTTAAGGACAAAGATTGATTGACGTAATACGCCGAGGTCGCCTTTTCCCTATGTTAACGTTAGTTACGTCATTTGAGACTAAATTTCCATGATTACACAAGTTTTCGAATAAGGAGATTATCAAGTCTATTTAAAGTAGATACAACTTCATTTAAGTGATTACATACATATCTTTCATCAAGAGCGATGGGTTACTGTTAAAGTTTTTGTTATAATATTGTTATAGTAGTGACTCGGATGGATAAATTACGGAACAGTGTGATAAGAGAGCGTTGCGGCGTGGAAGAAGATATAGTGACAAAGATAGAGAAAGGGATGCTTAGATGGTTGGGACATGTAGAGAGAATGAATGAAAGAAGAGTGATGAAACAGATTTATAAGGCGAGTGTGAGCGGGCAAGTTGGTATGGGCCGACCAAGGAGAACGTATCATGACCAAATTGAGGCCATCCTAAAGAAGGGCCACATCAAGAGTACCCTTAACCGACGAGCGTGTATGAAAGCATTGATGCGTGTTGATGAGGCGAAGGAAGTGTGTCAGGACCGTAGCAAGTGGAAGACTGTTGTCTCTGCCTTTTTTTTTTTTTTTTTGACGGTGGGGAAATCTTTATGGATACCCCTGAGCCCAGGGAGACTCAGGGGTTATGTGGGGACTCTCCCTCCAGACTGGAGGGCACCCCGATGGGAAAAAGGCGTGAAGTATATGTATGTATGTACGTATGTTTGTCTCATAAATTGTAAAGTTTTCATATCACATTTCTTTAAAACGCGGCTATGTGAGAAGTGGTCAAAAAATCGTTGTAATAAGCAAAAGATAGATTACAAAATTCTCGTTTTAAAAACAGTTAAAATTAGTTAACGTGTTCGACTTATTGGAACTTAACCTAACGACGCATAGCTGAAATGTTATTAAAAAAAAAAAAAAAAAAAAAAAAAATTTCAATATTCTAAAACTGGGCTATGGTTTTTTATGATATCTCAAAAAAATATTTTGTCACTTAGGAAATGGATTGTTACACATAGAAAATGAAACTATTTTTTCGAATTTAAACTGCGTATATTTGTTTTTTCATGTTGTTTTTTTTCATGTGTTTTCAGGTGCCATGGTCAACCGGAAAAATAATTTCATTTCCTATGTCACATATAAAACTAACCGCCTCGGTGGCTGAGCGTGAACCACGCTAGTCTGCCACACAGAGGTTTGGGCGTCGTTTGTGGTTATCTATGTATGGCACCCGCGACGCAGGGTTTCCTAAGTGCGTAACTACGAGTGTGTGCCTTATTGCTATTATCATTATCACGCCCGTTTCCCACTGGGGTAGGCAGAGACTATGGACCTCCATCTGCTACGCTTCTGACAAACCTGATATCCGATAATTGTATCATGTGCATAGTGATTGATTATATTATATAAATTGATAACTTAAGTAAAGTCATATTTATTCTATTAAATATGTTTTTGCTACCATAAATTTTTTGTGAAAATACTCCAGTAGTTGATTATTTGTAATAGTTGGAGGTTGATTTCGTATTCTTGTAAATATCGTTTTTTAGGTACAAAAAATAAGTGCGCGTTTGACCTCCATCTCACCTGATTGAAACTGACGATAGGTCGACGATGTAGCATGCATACCTAAATATGCCTATTCACTCTCGCCTTGAAAATTTTCAGTTCGTAAACTTTAGTTGTTTGTTATGTATTTATTAAACTTTGATTTAACTAATTTAAATAATTAATAAATAACACACACTCATTTGCCCCACGCTAGGGAAATCCTGTGTCACAAGTGCCATGAACAAATACATACACAAGTACAAATTACACCCAAAGTTACGTAAAAATAAATGTAGACCACAAAAATATTTCTACCGCCCTGGGAATCTGGGACCTCTGCGTGACAGACCAGCGTGGTAAGGAAGCAGTTAATCAATGTAGAATTGTTACAATTGACACTGATTAGACTCGACTTTGTAAGCAGATTCTCATGAGAGTAACGAATAAAAACTCTAGGGGTTGCTCTTTGTAAATAAACATTATTGTAGACATTATTACTATTATATACTACATTATTTTTATTATATATATATATTATTACATTATTTTTACGATATTTATTTCAAATAAGATCAAAACAACCTGCAAGAGCCAAGCGGGTCACTATTAAAGGTTTTGTCCATTCAAGTAAGCAGCCTATACCTGCAATATAAAGTTTTTGTTTCACTATAGTTTTGTGCCTGGCAAATGGCAAATTTTGAATAGCAATCGGGATGTTATTAGTATAGAAGCGTAGATATTGCCCCTTAAGACGAGTCTTCGGTAGAGAAGCGGCCTAAACTGTTCTGCTAGATCAAATGGTTTAGATATTTAGTAATAAATAACGATCTTACAAAAAAGATACGATACACCTGAAGCAGCCATAGTCAACGTGCTGCCCGCGAACCGCAGCAGCTCGACAAACTGTTATATAAGGCCCAAAATACACATATCTAGGCATAACTTTCCAACAGTAATAAAAGCCATACAAGAAGGTATATCTATTTCTTAAGAAAAGTATATAATATTTTCAAATTATTTAGCTGCCTGATCCAAGGAATTCATGAGTAGATTTCAGGATTTACGTCGTATCAACGAATATCTGTTGCTTATAGAAAAATAAACTATAACACAGTTAGCAGCCGATGCTGCTAACTGTGTTATAGTTTATGTTATAATGTTATAGTTTATTAATCCCAATGGATTTGATTACCCAATGTTATTCGATGAGTTTATCGAGTTTAAAATCGATAGGAATATGGAAGCTATTATTAAAGGGGAAAAGAGTTCTGCGAATTTTGGCAATTAGTACCGGAAAAATACGTGCAAATCGGCTTACTGATTCTCATCTTGATGACGTATTGAGCGTAGCATGTACCAGTTTTGAATCCGATTTATCAAAAAAAGTAAATAGTTTGTTTTAAAATTTCACATTAATTTTTAAGTAAAACCAGGTCCCCAGTAACTTATTTGCTGAGGCCCGTGTAACGTAGCAAACAGGCACACACGATAGGATGTACTTTATCCGATCATATAAAATCCCGAAAATAGGCAAAAATAAAAGTCTTATTATCTGAATAAAATATGATTTTGTAGACATAATTTTTATTATGGAGATATTTCTTTTTAAGTACAACACAGAATCTGCTAAATTTCGATCTTCCACTGAAGCCCAATAGTTATTAAATTCACATTCATCCCAAAATTTGCAAATTGCCTAGCGGATTAACGACACGACACGCCGTCTGGTGTACCGCTTTCTCTTCTGGTTTTTATTTTATTCATATTAATTTACACCGCGCGGATTGCGGGACGCGAGGGTTCACTCCCAACACCTTGTAAATACCTCGCCTTAAATGTAATTGTGACTTTGTGAAGACGACTGTTAAAAGAAACCAGTTTATTTTTATTCCTCGCATTTATGTAAACTACTTTTGCCATACTATTCAAGTACTCTATTTCAAATGGCTTCAAACTACCTGGATTTTCCTTTTGAGTTATACCTCGCGGAATTCACCACCTTTTAATCTTGCTTACGTCGTCAAAGAAGTCGATTATAGGTTTGAATCGAATGTCTGCGTTTCTTGGCTATTCAATTTGTTGTCGGTATTTTGGAAAACACGATTAGATTTATATTTCTTCACTTTTCGTTTTAGTTAACCCTTTCTTGGAGTAACAGCGTTGAACGTTTACGTACTGTAGTACGTAAACGTTGGATGTATCCAATTCGTATCAGTTCTGAATCAGAGAAATGACAGTTCGAAATGTCACAGGGATCATTTTATCTCTAGGTGTACAGGCAATATTCGTATTTTCTTGGATTTGAATCGGACTTAGTTCACAAGCGACTTCCGAAGTTCGAGTTTTCTAAATTTGTTTAGTCTCAGATTTGGAACAAATATGAATCGGATGTAGCGCACAATCGCGATAAATGATGCCTAAGGTTGGTTGATACACAACCATGTTTTTTTTATAATATCTAGTGATGGAAAAAGTCATGCGCCTGATGGTAAGC